ATGGAATGATATAATCACATTGCTAAAGATGTGATTTCATGACCAGAAGAAAAAAATTCCCCTATAAATTAAACAACATAAAGGCTGAGAAACATAAATAGTCTGCTCAGTTTACATGGTTGACAATTTACTTACTTGACATAAAATGTGACTCCCATTTCACTACATTCCTCATTACAAGTAAGTTCACGAAGGTAGAGTCTCAGAGGTCTTTCCACTTCTATCTTGTCAACATTGTCAGCAGCGATGGCAACTGTTTCCCATTTTCCATCAACCTGAAAAAACAAAAAGACAAAAAAAGGAGAAAAATAAAACAGGTCATTAAAGTATGATTTGGTATTCTCATTTCTGATCCCAGTCCTTGGAAATATGTAAACTAACTAAAACTACAAATCAATAATATTTTATTTATTAGTTCAAGATTATGTATCTATAGCTGTAGAATAACACAGGGTAGTATGATGACTTGATTAATACAACATTTTGGACTTGAGACTTTGTTGAACTGCTCATGTTTTAGCCTCTTATGCTCTGCAAATTCAACCTATTGTTTGCTTATTTCATTTGTTTCTTCCTAGAGAAATATGATTGGAAAAGCATATCTCAGTGAAGGTCAGAAAGCTTATTTCATGAATACAGACTTGCAAGGACTAACTGAATGACACATCACATCCACAGAAATATGCTATTGAGGAAACTCAGACATAGGCACAGACCAAATGAATTTACCTCCGCATGAGCATGAGCCAGTCCAAATGCCAAAGCCAGCAGCAGAAACTTTACCATGGTGGCACCTGTCTTTGGTCTTCTGCAGAAGCTCAAAGTAGGTCAGTGGATGTGAAGGAACTGAACTGACAAAGATTTTTATACAGCTAGTTAGAGGGAGGTTCATGGAATCAACCAATGGTTCTGCACCACAGCAACCTACATCCGTCTGGTATTTCCTCTTTGGCCCTGCTGAATGGTGTATGATATCATATCCCTTAACTAAGAAGACTAGCCTTAAGGTCAGGTTATGTTGGGATGATTAATTGAACATCCTGTCAGAAAGAAAGGACTATCCCTGTGAGAACATTAAGGAATGGCTTTGCCTCCAGAACTATACTGGCGGGTAAAGGTCACAATGCATATATATGTCTTATATGATTCATTTAACCAACATGACATGCATTTTAAAATACATTCTGAATCTAAGCATAATACTGTGCAGTTAACTGAATTTAAATTGTGGCCTGGGATATATGAGCCAGAGTAACCACACTCTTAGAAGACAAGTTTTTAAAACATTTGGAGGATTTCTTATGAGGATGTTGATATGTCTTGTGCTACTTTTGAGTCTTTCCATACATTGACTACTATAGCCTCCCAGTACATTAAATTTAACTACCATGGTACAGAGCTACAAGAGCTTCTCTCTCTAACACATCGAATCCCCTACAGTTAGCACTTTGGTAATTTTGTTTGACAACCCACAGTTTCTGACTACACCACTACAAAGAGTTAGTCTGTAATTTATGACACTTTCTTTAGATTATATCCTGTTATTATCTCTATTTCTTTCAGTTTTTGAGATTATTTCATAATAACATCATTCTGCAGTCCCCTTTCTCCCCTCTAAACTCTCTAATACGTAGCTCCTTCATCTATTTCAATTTTGTAGACTCTTTATTCACTAAATGTTGTTACATACATATGAGTTTGAATCGTCACATTTGAGTCCTAACTTTTATCTGAAGATTTGGAGCTCAGAATAACAGAAGAGACCTAACATGCTGCATTTGTCTTTTTAGATCTAGTTAACCTCACCCAGTAGGATCTTTTGTAGTGCATGCCATTTACCTGCAAATGTCATGAATTCATTTTCCTTTACCTTGGAAGATTATCACATAGTGCATAAGTACCACTATTTCATTATCTATTAGACAGCTGTAGAGCATTTTTGTTGTGAATAGAGTAGCAATGAACATGAATAAGAAAGTATCTATGAAATAGAATATCAAGTCATCTAAGCATATTTCAAGGAACTATATATCTGAGTCACACAGTATATATTTACCTTCAGAAAACTAAGAATTCTCCACACCGCTTTCCAGAGTTGCTATACAAATATGTAAATCCCAACAAAAGATGCCTCTGGGCAACAAAATTGTACAAGTATTAGATATCTCTCTGTGTGTCTCTGTCCTCTCTCTGTCTCTCTGTCTCTCTCTCTCTCTCTCTCTCTCTCTCTCTCTCTCTCTCTCTCTCTCTCTTGCTCTTGCTTACTCACTCTTTTGCTTTGTGTGATTGTGTGTGTATATGAATGTGTGTGTATTTACATGAGTGTGTGTGTGTGTGTGTGTGTGTGTGTGTGTGTGTGTGTGTGTGTGTGTGTGTGTTTTCAATTGTCTTCTTCAGGTCCTGGACCCATTTGACTGGATTTTCTCTTTTCTTATACTGGACATAAAGTAGCCATTTCCTGTCTTCTGAAGATTATGGAAGAGGACTTTGCTCATGGGATTGTACACTTCGATTCTAACCTAGGGGCCACTGATGGGTTGGAACTAGGAAGAACGTTGTCCAGCCCTATTCTTTCTGCTTGTGAAAACATTAGGGCCCAAGCGTTAGTTCCAAAGCTAAGAGCACACATGTAGCCCTGATTAAACTCAAACTCATAGAGCCACAAATAAAATTAAAATAAAT